TGAAACTTGTCTTTTTTTTTCTGAGTTACACTTAAATCTTTTTAGGAATTCATTTTAGTGTGTCATTTGAAACTGCTGCTGTTAAAGGCCTACTCTACCATTGTAGTCGTCTTCAACTTCCTCAACTTACGACTGTGTTGCGTGGGGGTGTGTCTGTGTTTGTTTTGGGTGTTTGGGGTTTTTTTTAACCTTTTTTTTGGTAGGTTTTTTTAGGTTTTTGGTTTGGTTTTTTTTAATTAAGAGTTGTCTGTTTTTAGGCGAAGTGGCAGTTTGCTCTTTTCAGGTCACAGTGGGTAAAAACGCTGTGATTTTTTCAAAGCTCTACTTAAATGCTGACACGGGATTGCTGATTGCCTTGCTGTGACTTTTAAATGCTGTCAATTTAGTTACTGTCAACAGCGGAACATTAATGACTTGTAATAATCCTTCAGGTTGACAGGTGTGATCCAGAGCTCTTACTCATGTAGAGGAGGGAGAAGGTGGGGTTTGTTTGCAAGCTGCTAGAAGGGCAGTAATTTCTGTATGTCATACTTGTGCCAAAGAGCTTTGCGTGTAACTTCAGGTGCAGAAGGGAGTTTGCTGGCTTGTATAACAGATTAGTTTGCTGAGAGGTGCTGTTTCTGACTGCTCCTCTGTTGGTTTCCTGACATACAAAGTACCGGTCTTGCCACAGTTTATGGCAGTTGCATGCTCCAGGTATTGCTTCCAGGCAAGAAAACAGTGAGCACAGAAGGTTGTAGGACAGTTTAATACTAGCTCTTTATGGTCTTTCAGCCTTTGGCATCTTTGAACTTATCAAAGAAGTTACTGCATCAAATGAAAGTATTTGTGGTTGATTGGTGTGGGGTTTTTCTGGTCATGTGGATGGGTTTTTGTTTTTGTACGTGAGTGGTCAATACTTTCAGTGATTTAGGAAACCTACTCACAGACTGCAACACATATTTACATTCACAGCTGGAATTGTGCTGAGAGTGAGTCATCATTCTGCTTTACCCAACCTGTGAATTGAGGATTTCGGCCTTCAGTCAACAGGCTTTCCTCTGATACTGCTTGTTCTTCAGCTTGGTTCTGAAAGCTGGTGCTGGTTTTTTGTTTGTTTGGTTTGTTGGGGGTTTTTTAAGTGCTATCCTAATATAAATGATCAGAGTAAAACACTTGATGCACTCGGTCTTTATACGTTTTTCTGTAGCAATCAGCTACCTAACTTTTGCATTTGGGGAACATTAGTGTCTTCAAGGAGTAGTTTTTAGTTTGGAAGATGAAGAGTTTTTTTGGGGGGTTGTTTCTTTGTTGGGTTTTTTTTTGAGGAAATGAGTTTTATGGAATTTACTCAAACTGAATAATGTTAGGGATTGTATGAAATGTAAATATTTGCAGGTCTTACGTGCTCTGGTAAAATACTGTTTCTGTTGTGTTAACTCTTCTCTCAAATGAGTACTGACTTTTAACTAGATCTTTACTGTATCTAAAGCATTTAAAGAGATTCTGTGTACTATTTGCTAGTTTTAAGCAGAACAGTTTCCCTTCCCTAATTGAAAGTTAGGTGTTCACGCGGAATCTGTTCAGGAGAGAGACTTTCAGCTTTTTGGTGCTGTGGAAGTATTTACTAAGGATTTTTTTTTTAGCATTGTTCAGATGACCTCCACTTAAATTTCTGGGATTTTGTTCCTTTTAATGTCCAGATATTTTAGGTACAGTTAAAGCCAGCTCTTCAGCAAGGAGAGGTATGTAAGTAGAATGAAACTTGTTACAGAGGATGAACTGATTACAAGAGTGGTGTTCTGGGAAGAGTTATGATTCTTAGGTTATGATTCCAATTTAATTTTGGAAATAAAAACTATTAAGCTGAACTTTGACTGTAGTATTGTGATACCGCTGTGACAGATGCCTGCATGAAGGCATCCCCTTCCTCCCTTCTCCCACCCCTTGCACTGTTATGGTGCTAAGTGGGAGTTCTGTCCTCTGCCTGTCTGCTGCTGTCTGGTTGCGCAGCCTCATAAAACGGGGACTGCGAAGTGCAAGGCACTTACTTGCCTGCTGAGAGTTGCAGCAGACTCTGCGAGGCAGCCTGCCTGCTACCGCTGACCGGTTTGTGAGGGCCAGCGGTCTGGTGAGGGAGAGGTCTGGAGAGCCTTGCTCGGATGGTGATTTGAGAATTTCTGAGTTGGTGACTGGATTTGCATGGAGGAAAAGGTTAAATGGATAATGTTTTGGAGAGGGGGTAGAGAATAGGCGTAAGCATGTTCTTCATTCAGGGATGTGTCATGCATTGCTGACAGAGATGGAAAAGCTTTGAGGAAGCCAGTCATTTAAAATGTTGGTGGTATGTCAGTACTCGGAGCTCCTTACAATTAAAAGCATCTGTGATTCGTACTGTTCAGTGAGTTATTTCAGCTCTGAAAAGCAAGCTCTTAGTTAAAATTTCAATTAGAGTACTAATTTCATTTGAATTTTGAGAGGAAGAGTCAGTTTTCAGCCTACCTTATCTGAAAATCCAAAGCTGTTGAACTACAAAATACACATAAAACTATTGTCTATACACTAACTGTTACGAATTGAAAAAATAAAGATACAGTGTACAGGTTGGCATGAACAGATCAAGTCATCTGGGCGGCAGAGTAGCAAATTTACCTAAGACAGTGTTGAATATAACTCAGTGTAAGTCATGGCATATTCTTAGTCCTTCTTGTAAGTGCCTACATTGGAATTCAGCAGACAGATTTTTAAATCTTTTGTTTCTATCTAAAGGTTTTGTTCAGACTCACATGCATGTCCAGAAATCATCTAATATAGTCTTTGTTTTTCTTCTCATCTGTAAAAATGAAAATTACTTTTAAATAATGCAATTTTAAGAATCCTAAATGAAAAAAAAAAAAAGAAAAACTTGGTTTTACTTTGTGTATCTTGGGGTTTCAGACTTAATCTCATCTCATTACAGCTTGGAAAAATTACTTTTAGAATTAAAAAGAAGGGGGTGTATAAAATATTTAGTAATAGATGTGTTAGCTGTGCAAACCCTTAATTCTAATACTTGTCTAATTTGTTTTCCAATACAATTACACTATATCATTGTAGAGAATAGTACCATACCTACCTTTTCCAAAAAAACTTCCAAGAGAAAAGCGGTGGCTTTTGGTGTGGTAAAATTCACTTTGTTCAAACAATAGTCATACTGAAAAATTGTTCTGCCACAGAGTAATCATCACTGCTTAAATTGTAGATTAGAAAGTGGAATGAAAGCCATGTTATTGATACCTCACAAAATAGATGAGTGCTTGTCCTTGATTTGCCTCTCTTTTTTTTAATAGTTGTAAGGGTTTAAAATGGACTGATTAATTTAAATGTGGTATTATAAAACCAGAAGGTAGATTACACTGTAAGTTAAATTTTTTTACAGTATATATTTCTATTCCATGCTATAAATATGAAATGACTATAACCATAAAATTCATTAATGTGGGCTGCCATGATGCTTTATAAAGCATAGTTGTCTTGCTGTTATTGTCAGTTGACTTTTGATTTGCCAAAAGGTTCTTGCCGTAAACCTTTCTGTGTAGTAACCATATACTCAGATTCTTAACTCTGAAGTGTTACGTTTTATCTTGGAGGGGGAGCACTCTTGCTGTCATACCAGCAAAAATGCAGACTTATCTAGATGAAGTAGAAGAGACAAAAAGAAAGAGCAAGCTTACCAGCACTGCTTAAAAGGAGTCCAAACCTTCTTATTTGAAGGTAGAATGCAGTATATAGTTTATTCTGGCAATGCTTTATTACATGACTTAAAATTATGCAGGGCTTTAACTCTTTTCCCTGGGGTGCTGATTGAGAACAGGATCTATTTTTCTTTCTTCCTAATTTATTGAATTTTTTTAGTATTTCAGCTAACATTTATCTGGAGTTCAAAACACTGCATAAGATGGGGGGAGGGTTGGTGGGGGTTTTGTGTGTTTTAATCAATGGAATAATGAGTGATTATGGCTATGTTGGGTTTGGGTGGGGCTTTTTTTTGAGAGAAATATCTTTAAGGTCCAAATTTTAGGTAAAGAAAACAATAAAGAAGGAAGTTAGGATGAAATCATTAGTTTTCTTTTGTATATCCTGCTTTGTGTTATCTGGATACTGGGTTGGATGAAAATTTTTAAGTTAGCGTGGGTTGATTCTTTTTTGTTGTTGTTGTTTACGTCAAGACTGATCTTAGTTTTGATCTTCATCAACTTTAATCCTGGATTGTGTTTGTATTTAATGACTATATGCTTCTTTAATCAAAGCTTCCCTCGAAGTAAAAATTGAAGTTTCCCTTACTTGCTGCAAACTATTTTTCTTCATTGCTTAAAGGCCTTGATCAAAAATTGGACACTGACAGTGTTGATATGTAACTGTGAAACATCTTTTACTATCATCTCCTATCCTGTGAAGGAAATAGAGCATTTCAAGCAAAACAGGACATAATATAGTTATGTGAAAATGTGACAATGAGCAGGATACTGCTACCGTCTATTCAGCAAGCCAGAGTTATTCTAATACTTAAATTCTTCTGTGATTTCTAGCATGATTTGTTGTTCATTTGTTTTATCTAGGTGACTCTGGCTCAGAGGTCATTTTTTTGGTCTTTTTCTGCTGTAAAACCTCCAGTAAAGAAGAGTGGTTTCTTAATAATTACTCTTTTAAACGTGTAGAGTCCCATATAAATGATGTCTTTGCTTGACTGTAAAGTTTAACAGTAGCTATCCAGTGGTAGAATTCTTTCAAGTATGTTGTTAAAATGCACCAGAGAACTTCTATGTAAATAATAATTGTAGTCATGAATCTTATGTTCTGTGTTGCTTCTATGGGTAAACAAAAAGGCTTTTTATTATGGGATGATCGTGTTTAGACTTTGCATTTACTGGTCTTAACGCAACGCCAGGAGATAATAGTTTTATTGAATGCTGTCAGGTATTTCTGTTGTTGATTTATTGTAGTAGTTCTTAACAAAGTTCTAAATTTTTTTTCCCCCTCACCAGACCTTAATTTATTTTGGATTAGGATTTCCATGGCACGTGAACTAGAAGATAATTTGAAATAGAAGTTCTCTTTATTTTGAAGTGACGGTCTTTATCAAAATGGTTGGAAAACTCAAACAGAACTTGCTATTGGCATGTCTGGTGATCAGTTCAGTGACAGTGTTTTATTTGGGTCAACACGCTATGGAGTGTCACCATCGAATAGAAGAACGCAGCCAGCCTGTGAGGATGGAAAGTGTGAGAAGCACAGTAAGAACTGCTTCCGATGTAAATGCAAACAAAACCTTTGCTTACAACAAAGACATGCCTTTAATATTTATTGGAGGAGTACCTCGAAGTGGCACTACCTTAATGCGTGCCATGCTTGATGCCCATCCGGATATTCGATGCGGAGAAGAGACAAGGGTAATCCCGCGAATTCTGGCAGTTAAGCAGATGTGGGCTAGATCAAGCAAAGAGAAGATCCGACTGGATGAAGCTGGAGTCACAGATGAGGTTCTGGACTCAGCCATGCAAGCATTTTTATTGGAAATCATTGTGAAACATGGAGAGCCTGCTCCGTATTTGTGTAACAAAGATCCTTTTGCTTTAAAATCCTTAACTTATCTTGCTAGAATTTTCCCCAATGCCAAATTTCTTCTAATGGTACGGGATGGTCGTGCATCTGTGCATTCCATGATATCTAGAAAAGTCACAATAGCTGGGTTTGACCTTAACAGCTACAGGGACTGCTTGACCAAGTGGAATCGTGCTATAGAAACTATGTATAACCAGTGTATGGAGGTTGGTTTTGAAAGGTGTATGCTGGTACATTACGAACAACTCGTATTGCATCCTGAAAGATGGATGAGAACTCTCTTAAAGTTTCTTCGCATACCGTGGAACCAAGCAGTGCTGCACCATGAAGAAATGATTGGAAAAGCAGGGGGTGTTTCTCTTTCAAAGTGAGTATGAGCATTCCTCCTTTACCTTGTATTGTTCTAAGAGGTAAAACAGTACATCTTGCATGTAAAAGACTAGTCATGACTAGGTTTCAGTTTTTAAGTAGCTAATGATGTCTTGGGAAGCTGATTCATGATGCAGATTGTCTGGAAAGTAGGAATGATTGTTAACTAACAATTTGCAATCTGAGATTGCTCCTGCTAAACAATTGTCCTGCTAACATATGTGTATGGAGCATATGAACGATCTTTTAATTAATGGTCAATCTAACTTGAATTTGGATGTCTAGTATCAGCCTTTCTTCCAATATAGCTTTGTTTTTCCCTGTGCCCCAAAATAAAGCTGGACTATTTTATCTAGACTAGTGTTATTCATCCTAGCAAGATCACCCATTTGATTTCAGGAACTTAAGTATTGTTGTCAATGCAAGAATGGCCTTCGAGTTATATTTGCCAAGAACATACTCTTCCAGGAAACTTGAGAAACTGTTCCAACAAAATAGAAAGCAGAATTGGCCTGCTTTTCTGTTGGCATGTGCTCCTAAAAGGACAAGCATTTTGAATAAAATTAACCTTGTAAGCAAATCTCTCAGTATTCTGTCATGTCATCTGTGTACCTGACTTTGGTACTTTCAGAAACCAAAATCCAGCTCTGGGGGGGGGGGGGGGGGGGGGGGGGGGGGGGGGGGGGGGGGGGGGGGGGGGAAAACTAGTTAATTCTCCAGTTAAACTACTCTTTTTGGTTTCTTGGCCATTATTTACAGTGGAGCTTCTGAGATATGGAAGCTGGCTAGTCTTTATGGGGGGGGAAGGTGTGAATGTTTGAATCTCTCCGCTTCCTTTTTTTTCTACGACAGATACAGCTACCAGATTGTCTTGTTTAAGTTTCTAAAAATATTGATTACAAAGCCCTATTCCAGCAGCAAGGCATGCCCAGTTAAATTCCTTGGCTTCTGTTTTTTGAATATTCATCATTGGCCAAGTGCTTCCGAGTAACAGAGGCACCTTGCGCAGCAAGCAACGTGGGCTGGGTAGAGGCATCTCAAACTGTTGAATACAGAGTGATTTCATTTTTTTAAAATTACTGTTCTGAGAAATAAAAATTGGGAAATTTTGTTTATTTAATGCCTAGGGAAGTGACTCTGAATTTTCTAATATATTGTAGGGGAATACGATTTAAAGTAAATCATAGAATTATTAGAGGCTACAGAGAGAACTTAAAACTCAGATAATGGTTATATATTTACAATCTGGAGGTTCAGCATCACCATTCCTACTGAAGAAACACAGCCACCACCACTGTGTTCACAGAGCTATCAAGAAGGCATCTCAACCTTTTTTTGAGGTATTGTTCGTTAGCAGATTGAAGCCTTCTGATATTGTTAACCTGAAGCAGTGCACTGTTGTACGTCTCTGCAAGCTGTATCTGTATGTGAGCTTCTCTTCAATTACCTGTGTCATGTTACTGCTTCACAGTGGCAGCTGAGGGGGGAGTAAACTCACTTTTACTGATATAAATAGGTGGTTGCCAAGTTCTGTTAAGTGTACTGTAAAAATAACTATGCATAACGCCATTTCTAGTAAAATGTTACTACCTTACAGCTTCCAGATTAGCGTTTTTAAAAATTAATGGACCTCTATACTATAAAAGTCAGCAGCCTTACTGAATTAATGCAGTTTCAAGTAACGTTTCTTGCTAAATCTGGTGGAATGGGATGTGAGGAGTTGAGAATACTTGTTCGTGTCTCTAAAAACTAAGGAAATGGATTGTCGAAAGTAAGATGTGGCTTCATGATTATTTTTGAATCAAACTTTCAAATTTAAGACAAACGAGTATGGAAGTATTCTTGTGACCCTCAATTCAATCTCTTCACGGAATTCTTTATGTTCTTATTATCTCTCATGACATGATATGTGAAAGTAATTTATTATTTCAGAAGGCTTTGGCAATAGTGGAAAAAGAATGGTATATTAGTGTTATGTCTGTGGTGTTTATCTAATCAAATACCCTTGAAATATATGGCGAGATTTGTTTTTCAGTTGCAAGAGACCTTTATAATTTGATAATGATTTCAGTGACTCAGTCTTTCAAGGGCTGCAGAAAAAACAGTGAATATGAAATTCTCTAACTTGGATGTCTGTTTTGTGTATTTATATGATACTAATTGAAATTGTGCAGGGGGAGCTTGAGATTCCCCAATTTCATTTCCTTCTACCAGTTAAAACCTCCTGCTTTTGGCATCACCAGCTCCTCACTGCACTCTCATGCGCAGCAGAATGCTGTGGACAGGGACGGCTGCCTGTCTGGGGGGTCCTTGCCCAGAGCAGGGGGTAACTGCCCAGAAAAATTACTCTTTGAAAAGATGCTTGCTAGGTAGTTTACTGAGAACTTTAGTCTGTCACAGACAGCTTATCAAATTTTGACAGCTCAACAAAATATACCTTGCGTTAGGCTTAGTTTTCCTTCTGTCAAGTTGCATTTGGCTTGTTCTCAGCTGCAGCAAAATTCTTTATGGCCTTGGATGTGTGCATGGCTGTTAAATTCTGGGTCAGGTTCTAACCAATGTTGTTCTCTTATGACTTAGAATTTCTCTTCAGGCTTACAGGAGAGTGCTCTTTACTTTACAGAGCGAATACTGTCGTCTTTCAGCTGAAACAGCAGAGTCTGGAGCAGTGGAGCTCCATGTTCTGATTAGCAGCTTTCTCCCACTTGACTATCCAAAGGGACGGTGCTGAAGATCACTTCAGAGATAGTCTAAGGAAATTCAAAACACTGCTGTCTATTAAACTCTGTCTTCTCACAGAGCTTTAGTTTACCACGTGCCTGGTACCAAGTGCTTCAGGCTGTTTCATAATAGTATATTAAAATCAGAATACTGAAATTAGATTACAGTTTTTACTGGCAGAAGGAGGATATCACAAGTACCAAATCATCTGTATTGAAATGTGATGGTCATTTAAAAGATACCACCACATAGGCCTAGCTTCTGTAGCATAGTAGAGAGAGTATGAAGACCTAGATAAAATTAGTTCCCTAGCTGTCTGCAAAGTATTAGGTAGGGTAGAAATCTCTGAAATCAAAGAATGAACAACGATTATAATCTGCAAAGGCTGTGATACTGTGTAAAGATTTAAGAAAATGAGCGGAGAAACCTGCCTCGATCATCTTCCACTCACCTTTAGGACTTTCAGACAGGCTCAGTATCCACTTCAGAGGCATGACACCTGCTCAAGTCAGGTCCAACATAAGATGCCCGGAGGTGTTTTAACTGTTGGAGGGTTTTTGAAAAGAAATCTGACAAGAGTTTTGTCTTGAAATACTTAAAAACACTTTGAAAAAGAGATCGCAGTATTGCTAAAAGGTCTTTATAATTATGTTGTTGCCCGGTAACAGAAAGCGAATGTTTACGAATGTATCTTTAACTCATCTGAAATCAAAATTAACTCTGCCAAATGAAATCTCTATCAGATGAATGAGTCTGTAGGTCAGTCAGTGTAAGGTGTTTTATTTTCAGTTATATAGAGAGTTAAATTGTGTATGCAGGCTGTTTCTCTTCCAGAGATGAGCTAGCCACCCAGTGGCTTGCAGAATTCTTCAGGCAGCAAGCTGACTCCATTTTTCTCTTATTCCAGACTCAGAAACTCTTATGCAATAGTCTGTTAATAGCAATATTAGATACTAGACAGTCTGTATTTCTGACTTCGTCTGTTCCCTGGCTTTTTGATTTGCAGAAACTGTTGGCTGCCTTATTCTCTTCTCCTGCATTTGCTTAGTAAGCCCTGCTTTTTCTGTTGCTCATGCAGCCCTAGACTCACTGTTGTTTGATTTTTTACGTAGTATTTTCACCCCTTATTTTGGTTTTTATCCAGCTGCAAGGAGAAATACTGCAAGGGTTTTAAGGATGTGCACCACAGCATCTGTAGTAGCGCAAAACCTGTGGTTTGAAGTAATTGCCAACGTGGCTGTTCAAGGAATGTAGTATGGCTGGACTACATGCTATAACTAGTATTGTTAATATAGCTCTGGCATTTGCCTCCTAACTGAAAACAGCTGTGGTGACCACTGATGCAATGAAATGTCAACCCTTTTATAGCAATTTTTATTAGGCTTATTATGAAAATAGCTGTCTAGGCAAAATTACTTCAGAATATACTATTTTTAATACATACCGTTCATTTGATTCTAGTACAGATGTAGAATTATTTGGGGTTAGTCCTGTGTTCCATGCTACCAGCTGCTTTCAAAGCTGAAACTGTTCCTGTGGTTTTGCAGTGGAGCCTGGAAGAGCACTGGCCAGGCAGCATTTGCCATATGCATACATAATCAAATTTGCCAAGGCTTGGTATGTTTTCATGTTTTGCTGTGTTTGGTTTTTGGGGTGCTTCGTTCCTCCCATCCCCTCTCTGTCTTCCCCCATGCTCCTCAGATGTTCTTTGGTCTGAAGAATCTTTCCCATGAATTGTTTTACTTTTCTTCCCACCTTAACTCAAAGGACAGAACAGGATTTAAACAGAAGACCAAATGTGGTATAGTATATTTTTCAATCGGTGCCTAGGAGCAGCTAAATGCTTATCTCTCACCAGCTATTAATCCCCAGGAAATGTTTCATGCTGAGCTTATTGTTACCAAAGACTAAAATGACAGTGGGGCAAAACATACATATTTTAAATATGCTTTTACTTCAGGACGAGGTATTTGTATGTGTACTAATTTAGGTCCTAATTGATGTATAGCACCCATTGTTTTGGGGTTCCAGTAAACTATTAGCCAAGCCCATTACCTGGTTCTCACAGTATCACCCTTATTTTAAACAGTCGAATCAGTCTACGGTTTTGGTGAAGGGGTTTTGGGCTTGGCTGGCTCTGTCTGAGAGGGAGAAGACCATAAATCTTACACTTTTCAAACACCTAGTGATAAATTTTTCTTGAGGGTCTCAGCCGGCATGGTTCTAAGGACTCCTGACTGTTGTGGTGCTTTGTCCTCTTGCCTTGCCACTTTGAACTTCTGAAACTCAACTCTTAACAGCTATTTTCTTGCTAATTTCATGTGAAGTCAGATGCTCATCTTCTAATTAGAAGGATCAAAAAGGCAATGCCCAGACTTTTTAGTTTGCTGTACAGACTTGGGATCTCAGGCCAATAGCCTTCAGGAAGGCTGAAATTCGGTTGCAACTCCTGGTCACAAAATCCTATTCTGAGTTCCTGCCTTCAGTTTGAGCTACTGAAAATGGTTGAAGAGAGTAAGGCTGAAAATTCTGGGAGTTGTCTTACAGGGTTTTTTTTGTTGGTCAGGTGCTTACTCATCAGCTTTCATGAAACACCTTTTGCAGCAATCTTGAAGGCCCTGCTTGCCAAGAGTTTCCCCATGGGTGACTGTTTCCCTGTCTGATTTGTTCTTTGCTGATTGTGTTTAAAGTACTTAGGTTACTGACTTTCCAGCATGGTATGACTAACTTCCTTCTTCTGTCCTGGAAGAATTTTAGTTATGATGACAAGTAGAAGAGAGTAACAAGGTAAAGACTGGTGTTAAGATCAAATTGAGTTAATGACTGGCAGACATGCATGCATAATTTGTAATTTAAGGCTTTCATTGCATGCATCTGAATGGGATGCCTCTTACTATTGATTTAATGTTTGTCTAATGTGCAACAATACTTCAGCCTCTTCTGGGACTCATGAGGGTAATTAGATAACTGTAATCAAACTTGTTCCTCTTGTAAGTTGACTGATGTCAGTCCTGAGAGCAATTTGACTTTAGCTTAGGCTTCTGGTCTCAGAAACTATTGGGAATAGTTCAGGAAACTTCCATTTATTTTTCTCAGAAGATGTTTTCTCATATTCTGCCCGCTGTGTAACTCTGAAGAATTAGCTGCTTGAGAATTAATTTGAATCTCAGTATTCTCATTCTTTATCTCGTGTACATGAGGTACTGGTGTTACACTTTGTACTGTTACTTTCAAGTATAACAATTTTGTTTTCTGGGTAGCAGAGCTTTTTGAGATCAAAATTCTATATGATGTAAATAAGGCCCAGGAGGGATGATAGCTGCAAGTGGATGTGACAGCTGTATGTTCAGCATCAGGTTTCAGGCAGGTATAGCCAGCCAGCAGGAACTACTGATGTAGTGGCATACCTTATGGTATTACTTGCAATGCAGATGTAAATATTCCTTTAGGCATCTTGTATATACAGATCTGATTTCTAATCTGCCTTAAAAGAAGGATGAACCTTGACATCCAAAATGCATGTGCAGTTCTTCTGAGTTCAGAAGAAAGTCTGGAGAGTTTTAAATTACTCAGCCTGTTGTGAGTCCTGCTGGCCTGTTTCAGAAATAAACACAGTAAAGAAGTTGTATGTCTTCTAATCTAAAAGAAACATGGAAAAAAAAAGTGATGCCAGATTTCTTCCTTTAAAAAGAAACCAACAAAAACGAGGGTGCAAGAATGAAGGTGACTTTAGGACTGTTGATTAAATGAGCAACAAGCCAACTATTTTTCTAAATATCGTACATATGACATGGCAATGATTATGCACTTGCCTTTCTTTAAGAACTGTGTAATGACCAAACACTTGATCAGTAAAAGGAACGGTTCTGAAGAATATTATTGCAGTCTGTATCTTTCTGTCATTTCCATAGGTGTCTCATTTAAAAAAAAAGTTTAGTCACAGATGACAAATGGCACATGGATTTTAATTTAGAATACAATTTTTTAAGAGCATTTAAGACAATGAAACAGCAAATGTGGGAATATGCCAGTGGGAAAACAGCTTTATATGTAGGTGTGTGCATACTTTTCACTTAGCAGCTCTTTGGCTTTCACTGCTGTCTTTATGTAAAAAAACTTGCTTCGGCACATTCTGTGTGAAAGCCTAAACCGGAAAACACGCATGAATGTTGTACTAGTTATTCTCATTTTAGCCTTACGTAGTAAAACTTCCATCAGCTCTGTAGAAACATGAAATTTTGAGAGGGGAAGAAGGAAAAAAACCCCAAAAAACAAGCTAAAAGTCTTAATGCTAGTGAAGAAGCAAGTATTGGTTGGAGTGCAAAATACAACCTTTCTTTCTCCCTCCACAGAGTTGAAAGATCTACTGACCAAGTAATCAAGCCAGTCAATGTGGAAGCATTGTCAAAGTGGGTTGGGAAGATACCTGCTGATGTCCTGCAAGATATGCCAGTGATTGCACCCATGCTAGCAAAACTGGGCTATGATCCCTATGCCAATCCACCAAATTATGGAAAGCCAGATCAAAAAGTTGTGGAAAACACAAGGAGGGTAAGGCATTTTTGTGTGTTTAATTACTGACCAAATGGATGTGAACTATAGAGTGGAAGAGTCTTGTGGGTTTTGTTTGGTTTTTTTAAGTCTGTTTGTAATACCTTTTGATACTTAGCAATATGTTTTCCTTGCCATGGGGGGGGAAGAAGGAAGAATTCTGTGGGACCTTGAGCACTGAAAGTCTGGCTCCTGCTGTTTGTCTTAAATTTGATTCTTCCTCCGTTACCCCAACCCCAGGCTTGAGCTGTGTTCTTTGGTGTGTGTAGCTGAACCTCTTGAGAAGCATCATAGTTGGGGAACTAGTTAGTAGTGGAAAAAAGCTAGCTTTCTCGCCTGGGCATCAAACTTGATTGATGAGCTCAGCTTTTTATACATGAGGGTTGGCAGAAGCTCTGTCACAAAATTACACCCAAAATACTTGGTAGAATTTGAAAAGTGACCCATGGAAAATGGCCCAAGATGATCAAAATGTCAGATTTTCCAATCCTTTGCTGTCCTTTGTAGAACAAACAAAAGATGGAGGAAGGTCTGGTGCTGATTAACCTAAACTTAAGGATTTTATTCCGAATTTAATGTTGTTGGAATTTGAGTAGTTAGGCTATACAGCTGTTTATCCCTGGAGGTATCCATTGAAAAGCTCACTACCATTGTTTGAAATAAGAATAATTAACTCTTTACTTCTGTTCTTTTGCGAATGTATACTTTATTAAAAGAAGGTGACTTTTGCTGCAGCAGCAAAGTAATCATTGGAATAATTGAATTAAACAATTTAAAAGGACTGTCTTCCACTAGCCTTCCGATATTAAAAAAAACTGGTTGGTATGCTGATGGGCTAGATACTAACGAAAAAAAAATTGCTTTTTGTGAAGTCTCTAAACATTTTTGTGTTACTTCTTTTTAGAAGCCCTCCCTGGGAAACTGTCATTAAACAGTTGATCAATGTATTAAAGGATGGCGGGCTGACTATTTTAATAGTCATTAGCTCAGCATGGAAAAGGTAACCCACCTTTTCTGGTGGGGGTAGTGGTTAGCATTTTATAGGTTTCCTGGTACTTACTGTTTAAAAAGGTTCACAAACAAATTAACTTTTCTGCACTCAATTCAACCCCTTTTTAAAGAAAAAAAGTGTTCAATACTACTTCACAGAGCCTTGAAAACAAAATCCTCATGCACCTACCTGTACATACTATAAAACAGTGACTCAGATCCAAATTTGTATTGTAGTGCAATAATTTAAGGTTGGTTATCTCTTACCGATACAATTTAAATTAGTTTTTACAGTATGGTGACCTTTCTGAGGCCTCTACCTGTGCATGGCAAGCTCAGTCTGAATTGTAAAAATTGTATGGATTTCAGTCGCTTACTGTTGGGTGGCTTCTTGAAATCTATTTGAGTTCAAAATGCAAGAGAGAAATTCAGGTAATAAAGCCACAAGCATACCTTTAAAAAAAAATTAAAGCCGAATTAAAAAAGCTAAAGTGTATTGAGGCTTTTTCACAAGTTTGCTTTGAAATATAATTAGTTTGTTTAGTAATGTTAAAAATAGCTGTGAAAAAACTGGAGGTTACTGTTACAATAGCTGATCCAAATATTGCAAGCATATGGAACACTTGTTAATATTTTGACTGCTATTTTAATTTAATACTTACAGCCCAAGATAGCATTTTAATTTTGTTATTTATTGTAGTACCCAGTGTATATTTTCCTAGTCACTTGTTCTTTAACAAAATTACTTTTGCATATATGGTTTGTATAGATAAAAGGAGGGAGATGTCCTGAATTAAGACTAAAATCCAAAAAAGCAAAAGGATTAAAGATGGCTAATCTTCAAAACTTACAATATTCCTTTTGAAAATGGAGAAACATGAGGCTGTCAAAATGTCGTGTACCCCAAGGAGCCATTTAAAACGACAGCTCACATTAGTGTTCGAGTTTGCATTTGGAGGGCTTGAATTCCTCCCCAGTCACTTTGCTTTGTTTCCTCCCAGCTGGTTCCCAGCAAATCCCTGCTCAGACCATTGGGTCTTCTGTCTTCCTCTGTGGCTGTGGAAACATTGATGTCCTGACTTCCTAGGGTTTCAAGATTTAAGGCTTCCCAACTCCCATGCCAGTTTGCTTCTTAGGTTACCTAATTCTCAGGGCAGCAGGCCCGTCAGCCTCTCTAGAAGTGCCAGGCTTCCTGGCGGTCGTGCATCTTGCATAGTAAATAGCCAAAATGCTGGCCACTGAGCCTGGCCTTAAGCCGAGTAAGTTTTGAAATAACTAATATTCTTGTTGGTGATCAGCGGGAGCTGACTCACTTCTGAAAAATGCTTTGCTTTGGTTTCCCCACGGCTTTATTTTGTTTTTATTTGGGAATGGGGGACAGGTATTTCAAAACATTTTAAGGTGTTTGGGAAAAGTCAGGGGAGGGAGAGAGAGGGGGAAGGGTGATGTGTTTTGCCCATCAGGCATAGCATATGCTGCCCTGTGCATTTCCCCTTCTCTTCCATGAACCTGTGCTAATCTATTTGTTGCTGCTACAGCTTGGAGAGGAGGGCATTTATTTAAAAAAAAAAAATAAAAAAATTCATTTAGATTTTTCCA